ATCATCAAAACCGCACACTCTAACATTGAAATGAACAATATTTGATGGATAATATGTTGCAGATAGTAAATCAATAAGTGATGTTGTTGAATAAAAAAGATTATCATTCAAACCGAAATGAAGATAAATTAAATTCATAAACATTGTAAAAATAGTGACAAAGACATTTGTGGACAATTTCTGTTTATGTTCAGATGATCTATCTTCATGAATCGTAACAGTAAGATGTAAAATCTGGTATTTGAAAATTTGAACAAATGATGAACGGTCTAAATAAATACAACAAATAAAGTAATCCAATTCGTTTCTCTTTATTTAAAGTTTCACTGAATAGAAACATACTATTGAAAATACGAGATGCCATATCAAGTGAAAGATTAACAAGAGTAAGTTTATGGAATTTGGGATAATTTCCAATGTAAAGAACACGGCCTATTGACAATGGATCAAGTGTAAGACATTCAATATTGTGTTGAATCTGAGGTAAGATATCATAACAAAATCGATCAAATATTGACTTATTTTCTGAGTTATTTTGTTCATTTGATAATATTCTTGTTAAATCAATAAATTGTGTAAAAATAATGTCTCGTGCCAATCTGTCGAGTTTTATATTGACTCCTATAAGTGAGTATAATACATCCACATTATCGAGTTTGTTCAAAATGGCAAGCAACATCTCGTCACACAGAGACAGGATATTAACAGTTAAATGGGTCATATTCAATTATAAATGATAAATATTGTGAATACAATCGTTTATATATATATGTATATGAAACAGATAGTCTTAATTACTACAGAAAAAAAAACAAAGTGATATTTCTAGTTATATCCTATATTAAATCTTTTATTCATTGGGATTTGCTCTTAATAATTAGACAAGAAAATAGAAATCTAGCGGATGGTCTATTTCTTTTTGACTTCGCCCTTCAAATCAGTTTCCCCTATCGTAAAAAAATGAAAAAGATTGACACTCACTCAGCTATTGAACTGCAACTGTCAGAAAACAATTATTAAAAATATGTTTAAATAACAGTTATACCGAAACGCGAAATATGCTACATCTTACGATGTTTCGTAATCTGAAAAAAAAAACATTTGGAAGAACTATTTTTCGAGTACAAATTAGAAAACAATGGAAAAGATTCTTTCTAAAGCTCTACGACATTCGAGATCATTCAAAGATTTTCGTTGTTTGAATTAAATTTCACAATATTTTGTTCAGAATTAAATCCTATATGTGATGACATATTGATAAACTGTTTATAGATTATGCTAATTTTGAAAATACGAGTTTCGAGAGTGCATTTAAAATCAAATAACACCATATGTTAATTTTGAGCCTTTTGCATCTAAACGACATCATTAGGAATCTTGAAACGATCTTAAAATCACTGAACATAATTTTCTAAATATTAATATTAATTACTTCATATTTACTATCGAACTTGACCAGTATTAGCTTGTAAAAATCGCAGCAGTCGTCAATCTTTTCCCACTTTTCGTCAATGCCAAAAAACTTATTGAAAAAATTGAAGCTCATAGTTTTGTAGAGTCAAAAATTCTCTATTGAATGGGCTACCCATTATTGCATGATAAACTTCGCGCGACATTGACGCAGCAAAAAAACATTCAAAGTAGAAACTGCTCAATAGGTTTCATTTCTTTTGAATAAAATAAATTTTTTTGTTATTATGATACTTCAATATTGAAATATAAGCTTCAACATTTTTCAAAAGTCTTTAAATCCGTATATTATTTTAAAAAATGTTTCTAAAACAATCATTAGTCCTTATTGATTTTTCATTTATTTCAATCTTTCACATTGATATTGTTTAAATAAATGTAATAAATCATGATTACACTTTAAAATTATGTCTTTTGTAAATTTAATCAAATGAATAAAAAAAAAGAAAACATCAGTTTATTGTTTATCAAAGCTATGTTTTTATAATGGCATATCACCAATTAACACTCGGACTAAAGTAGCAAAAGAAAAAAACGCTAGAGTAAAACAAAAAGGCCTAAAAAAGCACCGTTTAGAAAAAGAAAAATCAACAAAATAATTAATTGTGAACAAGAAATGAATAGGAGTGACCGATTTGTTGAATAATTAAAAGTTTTTGTTGCACCGATAATTGTGTATATGTTAATAAATTAATATCTTCATTGAATTCTTTTGAAAATATACGTTTTGATTTGAGTTGATTAGCAAAATATTTTAATTCATAAAGTAGAGAAAGAAAACGACCACATGTTAAATATGTCATCTGTATTTGATGATTACCATTTTCATTATGATCTTTTTCAGTTACAATTAATTCATAATCATTCATTGTCAATGCTGGTGTTTCACTATTAAGAATAAGTACATGTTCAATTTCTCGAAGTTGACGTATTATTTGTTGACGAAGTGTTGATAAATCATATCTTCGTTGTCTAATGACTCTATTAGCAATGATATTTTTTGTTGAAATAGTTAAAAATGTAATTAATAATATAGCAGGAATAGTAGCAAGTAAACTAAAATTAATTTGATTTTGTTTCATTAATTGATTAATTTGAATAACTAAACCTTCACCATCCACTTTTACTTTTTGAACTTGAATTAATATACCTAAATAAATTGCAAAAACGAAAACTAATTTCAGTCAGCAATAAATATATGTTAGATAATTAATAAGGAATTGAAGAATTTCTTAAGGATGGAATCGAACACTAGTGTCCATCTTGTTTTAGATGGGCAGTCTTGAATGATGCCTTTACTCAGTGAGTCGTGTTATCAAGAATAGACAATGTCTATAAAGTAACTGCACTCTTCATTATCGTTCCCAAACAAGAGAAGAGCTTGAGTATTAGATTGATCGATAGCTACTCTACTGATGATTCGTATCCGGGTTAGTTACAGCACATACAGTGGCGGTTTTACACACTACTACTCACTCAAAATAAGAGGAATGCTAGAGGTCTGGCATCGCGGCTACAATTTTTTGTTAGTTGACTTTTAGCAATTAATAGTATATTTCTCATTCTATGGTTATTCAAGTGATCAGTTGTTTTTAAGATAGAAACTAACTCTTTAGTAAAAATTCATGAATGTGATTTTGCTTCTTGTAATATCATATTTTTGTACAGAATTCAGTGCTCTACAATTATATTGAGTGAAACTTGTTCTAAGACACAAATTATATAAACTGAGAACTACACTTAACTCATTTTTTAGTTTTATACAGGCAGAATTTTCGACCCTGTTCAATTTTACGTTCGAAAGAAAATCTGAACATGTATTCGGAAATATTAAAACATTCGGATCCTAACTAATTGTTTTTAGTTCTAATCAGTTATTATTATTTAGTGGACTAGATTACTTTGACGAGGCCTACAATAATGCTTTATAATAAATCAAAAAGCTTTGTTTAACTATCACAAAAATTTAATCAATATAATTCTTCATTCTACGGACAAAATTTGAAAGAAAATATTGAGTTCTCCTTTAGTTTATTACGAATAATAAGATATCAACATATACATCTCTCAAGAAATATTTGAACAGTGACCTAAATATTCCAATCGAAACTGATTGAACAGTTCACGAATCTAAACACTTTAATGGATGCCTAGTTGTATATAAATCTTATAAAATGATTCTTTCAATTATAGTAATTATTACTGATCTAATATTAAATCAAATACCTTTAATTAAATCTCCTAAAAGAGCTGATATTATAGGACGATTAAGTTCTTGTTGATAATTTTTCATTACAACATTCATATCTTCATTTCTTGCACGTTCATTTAATGTTGATAAAAATTCATCTATACTAGTATTATTAATTTGTGCTAATGTACCAGCATGTTGACGTCCATATTCTTCTAACATTTCTTCAAGTATTTTTTTTGAATTTATATAATTTATTTGTGAATTTTCAAATGCAGTCTGTGATGAACGTGATTCAAATGTTGATGTATAAATCGTTTTTAATGGTACTATTAAATGTTCATTGATAAAAAATTTCAATGAATCATATGATGAATAAATATAATTAATAATTTGTTGTTTATTTGTATAAATTTTATATAATGTATAAAATCCTATCGCACTAAAACAAATATAATATGGAAGATAACGTTTAATATGTGTTGGTCTATAATATAAATGAATTGTATCAATCCATCGTAATTTAAATTCTTCAAATGAATTTAATATTTGATTATATGCTTCTATAACATCAGATAAATCACTATGAGAATTATAATTAATTGATGTTGTATGATCAAATAATATTTTATAAAGTTCATTAGTAGAATTCATAATTAAATCAATATTTATTTGTTCTTGTTGTTCTAAATTAGTTATTGTATAAGTTAAATGACCAATAATATATGATAAATTATGTTCTTGTTTATTTAAAAATTTAATTTTTTCTATTGTACGTATATCATCTCGATCTTTATCATACCAAAATGTTGTTTTTATTTGATCAAATAAACCTATATGTGTTGGTTCATCATGTTTCCAATATTGTAGATGTTGTTTTAATTGATAAATATGATCAAGAAATATACCACAAACAAGTTTATGTGTATGAATTGATAGAAGTAAAAGATAATTTGTTAATGCACGATAATATAAATCATTATTTGTTGATATTATATTTAATTCTTGAATAAATTTTAATGAATTTAATAATTGTTCACGTGTTAATTTTGTTTCATAAATAGGTAATTTATTTGTTAGACATGATGATAAACGATTTATTTCATGTAAAAGAGTTTTACACCATAGATTATTTATAGAAGATTGTAAACGTTGTTGAAGATCGTTAAGACGTTTTTCCATCTACAATAACTTTAGCTCTTTATTTTATTTTTCTTTCATTTAATTCATAAGATATATGTACATTCTAATTTCAAGATAACAAACAAGAAAACAAAAGAAAAAAAGAATTTTTTTTTTGTCATAGAACATCCATATATAAAGAAGTTCAGTCACAATTTTAATCCCATGAAGTCCATGATGATGGACCTTGATTGTTACCACCACCACGTCCACCGCGTGCACCACGATTATATGGTGTATAATTACGATCACTACCACCACCTCTCATATTTCCTCGTCGCATTGCTCCTCTAGCACTATCTTGATTATATCTAAATAATAAAACTATTCAATATACAAAAATCTATGTTTTTTTTTTAAACTAACCCTTGACCAAATGTAGGTCTATTATTATTTCCTTCATTAAAATTTGAATTATATCCACTATAATTATTATTAGACATTTGTCCATATGAATCATTAAATCTATTTTGTTGATAATTATTATAACCTCTATTATAATTAGGTCGTGACATGGATGATGATGGACCTGGTCGAGATCGTATATTACCACCTGAACGTTGTGCATTATCTTTTGATTGTGCTTTTTGAACATCTATTTGATGACCAGATACAATATGATTTTTTTCAAGGATTATTTTATCAACTGAATCATAACTATTTATTTTATAAAAGAGATTAATTTTGTCTTGAAAAAGAAAATATAACTTACTCATCAAATTCAATAAAACCATAACTACAAAAAAAAATAAAATTTTTTATTAGAAGAGGTCTTATAGTGTAAGTTGAAACTTTTAAACTCGATCAATCAACTTATAAGAGAATAAAATAATGGCAAAAAAAAAACTTGAATATAAAAACTAAAACAGAGGATACCATAGCGATTAAATGATTATTAAAAACGCCAAAAAAGATTTAGATTCCTATTGATATTTCCTTCAGCTATCAAATTTCGATTCCAAACTTTGTAAATATAAAGAATTCGATTAGACTAGTTTTCAAAAACAAAAATTCGAATAACATCTCTTCGAGTAAGAAACTTTCAATATTCCTTTCTTTTATCAACTAACTGAAAACACGAACTTTTGTAGTTTTTCATTATTTTCTCTATAATACAAAAATATAGTTCTCAACGAAAAACCGAATTTGATGGATAATTACATGGTGAAGATTAATAGATATATATGATGTTAAAAACTTCGAGTAAATTTTCAAATTCTATCTAAATGAACAATTACTTACCCACGATATTTACCATCACGATCTTTTGTAACAGTTACATTTATAATATTTCCATATTTAGAAAAATAATCTTTAAGATCATCTTCTGTTAATGGTTCTTTGATACCACCTAAATAAAGTTTTTTTATTGCTAATTGCATATCTGGTTTATGCGATGCTTCACGTGGTACCTAGATCAAACAAAAAGAAAAATTATTAAAATTTAATCATTGGTTTTTTTTTAATGTTTGTTTTACTGCTCGTTTTGGTTCTACAACTCGATTATCAAGTGTATGTGGTCTTGCTTTCATAACAGCATCAACACTTGCTGAATTATCAAATGTAACAAAGCCAAAACCACGTGAATGACCTTCTCGATCACGTAAAATTGTTGAATTTCTAAATGAATTTATTTATTTAAAATTATATCAAACATAATTTTAACAACATACAAAACTGTACCAAATTGTGTCCAATAATCACGAAATGTATTTTCATCAATACGATATGATAAACTTCCAATAAAAACTTTACGTTTTTGTTCTGGTTCAAGTTCATCATTATTTAGATTTAAATTATCATTTTCAATCATTTTGTTATAGAATTCAAAAATAGATGATTAACTTTCTACAATAGAACAAATCTTTTTTCTTTTCTTTTTAAATAAATGTCTTTTTTTTTCTAAATAAAACAAAGAAATCTCAAATCTAACTAAGCAGATAAATGAAATAGATTTTTTTTTTTTGATAAATTTTATTTCATTTGATATACAATATAATAATTAAAATAATATAGATATACTTTCGACTCGAAATAATCGTATATTTCTCAATCATGTAGCTGGCTGATCTTCTCATACTCGAATAGAGATGAATATCATTTCTTCTTTATCAGGACTCAACAATCCTACAATATAAAAATATGTGTTTTCTTATTAACACGTATATTGATATACTCAAAAACAAAAACAAAAAAAGAAAATTTATATCAAAATAGACAATCTAACATGTTCAAGTATTGTATTTTGATTGATTAATGATTATTCTTTTCGCATTGTTGAATTAAAAAAATTTATATTCATACATTGTCTTCACCGTCGAATTATCTAAAAAACAAAACTTTTCATTGTTCACTTCATTCAAATGACATCCACTGTATGAGTTTATATTGAATAGATTGATCTAATGGTTCTTAGAATATTCGGAAAGTTTCGGTGGACAAAAAATGTTCTTGTCTTCGAATTATTCAATTCTCAAGTAAACTCGATTTTTGTAAATTTAATGAACATTCTTTTCGACTGAAACATTCAAGAGCCATCAAACTTATCTAGTAGCAAAATTTTGGATTAAGAATGGACATAACTCGACATCGAAGATGAATTCGAACGAAATTATATCTCTATCAGACATGAAATCGGTTCGTGTTTATTTCTTGGAACGAAAGCGATATTATCTCTGATCTTTAGTCTTCGGTCATTTTCTTCTTTTTTGTAGATTCATACATATCTCAAAACTTAAAAGATATCATTAAAATTATTGTGTTTTATGTCGTAATTATATGAAGACTAGAATAAGTTTAATTATTTCTCTAGAAGATTTTAAGCTTCCTTTACAAAATAACTAAGATATTGAGCATCAGACTACATGTGTTTCTTTGATTACGCTACTAACCTTGTTCCGTATTACCATGTCACTAACAGCTGTCTTGCATCACAACATATATGCTCATATCTTGATTAGATGGAATGATATTGTAAATTAATATTTTAATGCTTGTAAACATATATATGTCTATTTTATATCTAAAAATACAGTTTTGTTTTTTTTTTTCTTTCTATAATCTCTAATTAATTAATTAATCATTCAATCTCAATACAAGAAATTTCAAAAAAATTCATCAAAACAAAATTGAAATCATTTTTTTTGTTTTTTCTATATATATTCCAATTTAGAATTTATTCGAACCAACAGCAATAGCAATAATAGCACGCGATCTCGTTTTTCACATAAATATTCTCAAGAAGCTGTATTAGTGATAATAGTAATAGTGATAGTAAGGTAGATAAACGAACAATGAAAAAAAAAAAAAAAGAAAGAAAAGTAGAACTATAGGAGAAAATGAAAACCAAATGAAAGAAAACGAGATACACTGTAAAGTAGGAGAAGTATAATCGGAAGAACACAAAGACAAAAAAAAAAGTGAAAATTTGTACGCATTTTGCGCACAAAAATATATAACAGGAAAAGAACCAAAACAAACAAACAGCACCACCAATAATCTAGTGTTGCAGTAGAAAAAGAGAAAGCAACATTCTAGTTTTTCAAAGAAAAGAAAAAAAAAAAAAGTAGCAACTACAATAAACAGAACAAAAAGAAAAAAAAAATTAGCCACAAAAAAAATTACATGATTATCCCAAGACACACATGACAAGTTGCATAGACAAAATAGAACCCTTAGCCAGAAAAAAAAAAACGAAAGAATATATAAGTAGTTATATGTATACACAATCAAACATATAGAAAAATATCGAGACTAGATAGAATAGACGAAACTGATGAAAACCATAAACAGGACCGGGAGTAAACAAAAATGTTAGGAAAAACAAACTAATATAGGGAAACGATCGGTGGTGACATTTATTCTTCTCAATATGTCTTTTTATTTATTTTTTTTATTCCTTTTCTTTTACTCACAACACACACCGGAACTGCACACACATAAACATTGTTCGAAAACATAAAATATGATCAGTATATTTCTTTTTTTTTTTTGTCCTTCTTCTGATGTTTCATATTCACCGGCATCAAAAACAGAAACACTAACGATAATGATCTTATTGACTGAAAATAATAATCAGATGGAAAATACTGCTCAAAATTAGAACAAAAGAAATATGAAATAATAATAACAAACGAAAAAGAAAATGGGGTCACTGTTCTCAAAACATGCACACACACACATACTACAAACATTTAGGAAAGAGACAAAAAGAAACAAAGGGAAGGCCTTTCTACATAAGAAATACTGTTCTCTAATACATCAGAATAAACTATACAAAATTCATACACTTGAGTTAAATTCTCAGTGTATATGTAGAAATGAAGCCTAAACACAAAAATTCGTATTGCGAATGAATGAACGATGATATCTAAGAGATTTAACCTTATGATAATGCACACAAATTAAAATAGAATATATGTATACATATATATATATATAACAACACAGATCAACCTGTTCCATATTGTTCATGTGAATCACTATCTACTTGTGCATTAGATACTGAAGGTGATGGTACACCAGTTGTTGATGTTGATGGTGGACCTTGTAATGATTCAGCTTCATCCGATGGAATCATTAAACCTGAAGTACCATCATCAAATGTTTCACTTGTACTTAAATGATGCATATCATTTGCCATTGATACCATTGAATTACTTGTTGTTGCTGTAGCAAGACGAAGTGATGATGATGATGCTGTTACTGTAGATATTGCTCCTGGACTCATTGTTAAACTACGAGTTGCTGAATGAACTGTACGTGCATGACGTCTTAAACTATTTGAATGACGAAATGCTTTACCACAACTTGTACAAGTAAATGGCTAAGAGAATAATTAAAAAACAAAAAAAAAGAAATTAATATTATCTTATTCGAATAAAAACTATATCAGATGTCATACAGTGAGAGCTCAAAAAAAGCATGTACATTTTTGTTTTTACGTAATAAGGATATTCTAAGAATTTTCTGTCATGTCGGACTTTGTAGACCTTTTTTCGCTGATCATTTTGGGAAAAAGAATTTTTTGATTTTCATTGAGTAATAACGATGTTATAGTCAAAATACTAAACACTGTAATATAAAGTAGAGAAAAAAGTTTAGCACACTTTTAGTATTTGTCTAATTTTTACGTTATTTCACAACATCTGAAATAATGTTCTATATATCATTCGACGCAGAATTTAATGGGCTACATTTTGGTAACAATCACTTATACTTATATTGCAGTTAATTAATTAATAAAATTTTGATTTTTTTTTTTTAATTCCAACTCTTTCATATGAAAGAGCATAAAAAAACTGAACAAAACTCTATAATTACTATTTGGATGTGATTTTTAGAGTATGTTCAGTTGTAATTAGATATAGTATTTTAACTATAACATCGTCATTACTCAATGAAAATCAAAAAATTTTTTTTTTACCAAAATGATCAGCGAAAAAAGCTCTACAAAGTCCGATATGAGAAAAAATTTTCAGACTATCCTTATTATTCGTTTATGCATAAAAACAAAAATGTACATACTTTTTTGAGCCGTCACTGTAACCTTTATATAAGGTTAGTGTATCACTATAAGAGATGAACGATGCACTGATGATCACTATTACTAATGTTTTCTAATAAAACAAAAAAAAGAAAACTCATACTTTAACGCCGCTATGAATTCGTAGATGACAACTTAAATTTCCTTGTTGACCAAAACGTTTATTACATATTGGACATTCGAATGGCTAAAATAAAATAAAAAAAATATTTTAATATTTGTTTAGTAATTATAAAATTTACTTTTTTCTTGCTATGATCTCGAATATGTGTCTCAAGATCAGCATAAACAAGAAAAGCTTTTTCACAATGTTGACACTAAAAAAACAAATACAAAAACAAATACAATTTATTATTATTTCTACTTTAAAACCAGTATTAGTAAATTTTTGATTTCCATGTTCATTAATAATATGTTTTTTAATATCATCATCATTAATTCCACATATCCAACATTGTTTATCATTATTTGAATGTGTTTGACGATGAAGTAAAAGTGTTTTATCACTGAATAAAACTTTATTACATTCTGAACATTTACGTGGATCTAATTTACGTTGTTGTTTTTGTTGATGAATTAAATTATTATCATCATTAAATGTTGTTTGATGATTTGGTGAAAGTAAATCAATTGTTGATGTTTGAGATAAATTTATTTTTAAATTATTTGAATAATCATATTGATTATTTGTTGAAAATTTTTGACGTTTTGAATATGTTGTACGACGTATTAATGATGGTGAAAGAGATAACGACGAATCATTCGGTGTCGTACTCTCTTTATGATCTAAATATTTTAAAAAAGTTTTTTATTATTTACCATTAAAAAAAAAAAAAAACAAATTAATATTTATAATTATTTTCAAAATATCTACTAACTTTCATCAATTGTTTGATGTTGATTTAAATAATTTGGATGATAAGTTGGACTACCATTTTCAATTTTAGAATTTGTCTAAATAAATTTAAAGAAAGATTATAAAAAAAAGTTTTTTTTTTTTTATCATCCTATATAATTTCACAATTGAAGAATTATACAATGATAGTTTAATATTTAAATGATTGTCTATTTTTTTAATTACGATTGTATTACGAAATATTAATAGTGATTATCATACGAACGAACATGTAATATAAAGTTATAATTATTGATAATAAAGAAGATTTTTACAGTATGAAACTAGATAATAGAGAAATTTTCAAGACTATCTTTGTTTTTTTGTTATGATTTCTATATTATAAATTTTATGACCTTACAAAATGAAATACTGTAACTAATTCATTATTTTTTAATGGAGACATACCATGAAAAAAATTTCAAATCATTAGCTCATTAGTGTAGAGATATTATATTTTTTGAAGGTCATATTGTGACTCTTTTAGAAACAATAGATTTTTAAAATTCGACTTGAAATAAATCTTAATAAGAATATAGTTTATTATGAAAATTTCAAATATTTCTATTCTATAAATATGTTTTATATTATTTATATATGATTGGCAAAATTCGATGTTCTTATTTTAGGATAGAAATAAATGCAAAAATTTGATAATAAACTATTTCTTATTAAGATCTATTTCAATTCGATATTTGATAATCAATTTTTCTGAAGGAAACTATAGTATTACATTAGCTTTGCATCAATAAGCACAGGGTCCAAAAATTTTTTCATGGTATTCATAGCTCATTAGAGTCTATATGATTCCGATTCAAGAACGACTAATCAATCGAAGGGCTTTACTCTTTAATAGTCAACAGAATGGTAAAAAAAGCTAAAATCTTTTTGAGCGCAATTCTATTTATTTATAAAAACAAAAAGTTTAATTGAAAAAAATAAATAAATAAACATACCACAATATTATGAATATCTGTTGTTGATTTAATTGGTGATGATAAATTTGTATTTGATTGTTGAATATTTTTAAATGTTAATTCTAATGGATGATCAATAATATCATCAGTATTAGTATTATTATTATCAAGTGATTCATGTTCAATTGTTGGAGATGTCTAAAAATAGATATTTCAAAAAATTAAAATGAAAAGTTTTTTTTTTTTTTACATCATCATTATTATTATTATTCGATGATCGATGATTTGTTTGAATACGTTTTTCAGGTGTTGATTTTCGTTTTCTACAACTTCCAATTTGTTTATTATTGGATGTCATTAATGGTATTGATGTTAGATTAGTTTTCATTTGTGTAGCTGAAGCAGCAGCAGCGGCAGCGGCAGCGGCAGCAGCAGCTTGAGCAGCTGCCATTGGATCATTGAAGAGTTGTATAAGCAAATTTCTTTGTATATTAGCTAATGCATTCATCATTGTATCAGTATTAGAATTATTATCATTTCGATGTTGACCTGTATTTGTTGAATTCATAGAAGCAGCAGATGCCATCATATGAGCAAGACGTAATTGATATACATTTGGATTTGATTCTTCAATTAAATTCATTGTATTACCTGTTGGTATTAAACCATTTGAACCGGATAATGTATTCATAGGATTTGTTTGTAAACGATGTAAAAATTCATTTATATTTTGTTGTTGAAATTTTGGTGATGAAGTTTTTATTAAACCAATTTCATCATCATCATCATCATCATCATTATTATTATTATTATTATCATTGCACTGACCATTATTAGTTGAATTTATTTTTGATGTTGGAATAATTGATGAAGAATTACTACTGGATGATGATGATGATGATGATAATGATGATGGTGGAAAATGAAGAGATTTTGACTGATTTGATGATTTTATATTAGTTGATACATTTGCTTTAGTATCATCATGTTCGTCATCGAACTCCTAAATATAGAAAAGATTTTATTTTAAAAAAAACTAAAATATTCTTTTTTTTAAATTTCAATTCTATTTTGAAATTTGATAAACGAACAAATTAACACATTCTATTAGATTATTCGATTGTATATATAGAATCGAATGAGTTTTATATAATTTTAGTTTGGTTTAAAACGACAAAACTTAGTCCGGTTATTAGTCGTATGCAAATCAATAAATCACTTCGGTCTACTAGAAATGTGCATTTTCAATGTACTGACCACTAGAGTTCTATGGTTGAGAATCACAACCATTAAATCATCATTTTTATTTTTTCATTGTTGAGATTAAAGATTACAATATATAGTTATAATATCGTTTTGTTTAAATACTTAATGATTTTAGTCTCACATGATATTTTGAAAACTGTACTAGAGAACCTTCAAACTCTACTTCTAATCGACTCAGTGTAGTTAGTATATATATTGCCTTGAATGTTCATGTAAATACTGGAATATGTCTTTACAAAAAAAGGGTATGTTTTCATAGCGTTGGTGTTATAATGTTACAACGCTCGAAGATGTGAGTACAGTCAATGTCATAGTAAACCCTTTGTCGACGATTCACGTTTTTTTCACATGATTTTATACGTTCTATCCTACTAATTCATAAATTTTAATCATTTTTATAGTATGCCACTTAAATGAGCTTATTAGTAATCTTTAATCGAATGCTTTATTTTTCGTTTACTTACGAGGGAACATTCCCAAGTATCACATCGCTTTTGAGTCGGCCGTATGGGGATTATGTAGGTTCTAATGATCTGATGAATCCTTCCAAAAAAGTTCGTGCCGCTAGCTTCTTACTAATGAGATATAGCATTTTTACTATATGTTTCGGAAAAAGTCGTGATCCCCCTCAGGAACATCAGGAAAAGTGAGTCCTGAAACTTTG